ACGACTCTATCCTTCCAAAACTCGAAAAAATGCTATTCAAAAGGGGCAACAAGCAAAATCAGCCGTTAGTAGCCTGGAGCAGCTGAGAAAGCTCACTAAAAGTAGGGCGGGTCTTCGTGGTATACTATTATCAAACCTCACAAAAAGCATCGAACCACTAAAAACATTAAGACATGCGTTCCCTTTGAAATGCAACTCATCAAATCCCTTGATTAATATCTAATATATCTAGGAATTAAAGCAACCGAAGGACGCTAATCTCTCTGGCTGGTAAACGAAGTACAAAACAAAATAAGCCTTTAGATAAGCCAAACCAGTTACATAAACAAGAGGATTTATCTCTAAACTTACTAGCACAGAAAAAGAAAAAAATAATGTGAGAAGCTTGAACCCGAGTCTGTAGGCGCACACTTCTGCAGTGCATTTTACTTCACGCCTACTTCGCTATTCAAATCTGAAAATCTTCGATTCAGTAGTAGATCCCTTTTTCTTTGTTGAAATTGGCAGGTAGTCATATAACATTTGGATCACCTGGCTATAGAAAGCAATTTTTTAGACAATGGCATTCTCTAATGGAGAAGAAAGAAAACGGAAGGAGTATCGTGAAGATACTGATGTGTATCCGAGATATCTGGTGACACCGAACAAGAAGTATATTGAGCATAGTCTAAAGTATTTCTCAAAGTAAGGTTTCAAACAGCATATCATTCAAGCATCTGTTCATTCTGCTCTCAATTGAACTTCCATGCATATCAAAATGCTTTTCAGAATGTTCAGCAATGAGAGGTACACTGATATGTTGGGCAATTTGTCAAGGCAGATCTATGAATACTATTTCGATAATTTGGAGGTATGAGTATGAAAATTGTCCCATATAACTAGCAATCCTTACTTCCTCATGATTTGAGATCATTTCATGTTTTCTTTCATTTTTACAAGCTTAAAAGGCATCGCCCATCTAAATTGAGGATGTTATTTGATGGAGGAACCCCTAGCTAAGTAGTAGCTTAAGTTCTGCTGCAAAAGGTGATTTTCAAAACGAGAAATTCACTCTAGAAGCTAGAAGC